GGGAGGGTTTGGGAGAGAGACAACTAGGTTTCAGCAAAATAAGGGGAGGGGAAGAGAGAGAGAGAGAGAGAGAGAGAGAGAGAGAGAGTTTATAGTGTGCTTATGAGGACTGTTAGTTCATAGTGCTTAAGAAAAGAACACGGTAAGCATCAACTGGAGCTGGGCATAATCATAGTCGCATACCAGTAGTTAACCGTTTAATTTCAGCTGTTAAAAAACAACAAACCAGTTTGGATCTTACACAAGTGGTCTAGGTCACTTTCTTATATTATGCAGTGTCTTTTTGTTGTGTTTTTGTTTTGTTGTTGTTTGTTTGTTGTTGTTTTGTTTTGCTGTCTCAGAATAGTCTCCCCCCCCCCCCCCCCCCCCAAGAAAACAAAAAAAAGAGAGAAAAAAAAACGGGGGAGGGGAAAAAAAATTGAGAAAAGAAAGGTTTTTGGAAATTACAACATTATATTACCCCCCGGGAAAGGGGCTTTAAAAACATTTGGCCAAAAACTATTTTGGCGGAAAAGTTTTAAAACTCCCACTGTCTTTGCCTGTGACATTTTATTTGAAAATTCTTTTGGGGGTTTGTTTTCCCCCCCCACCGCAATTCATTTCTTTCCTAGGAGGTAAGTTGTAAAACTGCCTTCTGGGAAGAAAGAGGTGGGGAATTTTTTTTTTAAGCAACACAAAAAAGGGGGGACCCTTGGTGGGGGGTTTCTCAAAAAAAGGGGTGGTAGGGGCAGCGTGTGAACACCCCCAATGGGGGGGGGGGTAAGGGGTCTTTAAAAAAAGGGGAAAAGGTTTGGGGGAGAGGGCGGGAAGGGGAAAAAACCCTTTTTTCTCAAGAGAGTGTTTTCCCAAAAATTCGCCAAAATAAGAAGGGGGGGGGGGGCTGAATAACCCATCCACGTTTGACGGTGAGCCTTTCTCTTTTACTGGAGGGGAGACCCAATGGGGACACATGTGTTGCCCCATTTTTTGCCCCAGCGGCAAAAGACGCTGTAGGCATGAGTGCTTTTTTCGAAAAAAATTGTTTTGGCAAAGTTTTTTTTCCGTGGTTTTTTTGTTTTGTTTCAATCATCCAGCAAGGTAATCGAAAACAGAAATACCAAGCAGTCTCTATAATGTAACCCTCAGAAGAAGATTTTTGCCTCTAAAGGCTCCTACATGCTTTGTTCCTGTTAATTTAGTTCTCTTGCAG